CCAGAGATTAGAGACAAACATGTTGCTTCACGTAGTCTAACACCCAGGGAATATTGTTTATATCCTTTTTGCAAGCGCATTACTGCACGTGTATGCAGCGGCGCAGCCAGACCCTCGATAATTGGGGAAGGGGAGGGGTACGGGATTGACGAAGGGCCTCCCACTGGTGAAAAGCCCCCAAAGCATATATTGCCCGGATTTCACCCATTTTGTTTCGAGGACCCCAACTCTCTTTACTCTAATATATTTGCCGTCTCCTTTGAATGGAACAGAAATCATAAGCCATTGAAATGCGTGATTCCACTTGCATTTAGAAGGTAACAAAATGATGGTACCTGATATTAAATTGCGGCATAGGATATATAGGTCGCCTGCGCTATTAACTTGAAAATGGTCCATTCGTCCGTTCTGAAACAATACAACCAGTGACCTTTCAGGATTTTGTTCGGAGTTCTTCAGAGATACCTTCAAAGAAAGCTCCCTGGCCCAGTTGATCGAATATCAGCGTAAACCAAAATGGGGTTCAGAGAGAGTTGGCCCCGTTGGCACCTGGTGCCAACCGTGGCCCCGTTGACTAAACATCAGCATAAGCCACAACGGGGTTTAAAATTTGTATCGATTTCCCGAAACCTTGCTCGTCCAGGAATATTAATGCTTTCTTCAGAATCAGTTAGTGACAACAATAAAGAAATAGCTCTGCGCAGGCGCGTTGGCAGCATCCTAGAGCAAAAACACTATCGTCTGACGTTGCACTCCCCATATGTCGCGCGGCATCGCCCCGCACTAACACCAGGCGGTTACCAGTGGGTGAGTGAAAACGACCACGTATCAAAAGTAGCACTCAAAACGTTTGATACAGTCGATTTGTACGCGTGAAAGGTAATCTTGATCGTTGATTTCACCTGTACACTTGCAGACTGATATTCGAAACGGATTAGCACTTTCAGCACCACCAACACGGCGTATGGTGGAGCCTCTGTTGTCCGTGTTGCTGTGTCAGCTAGTCCTTTCAGAACATAAGCGTTAAGATTGCCCAGGACAAATCAATATTCCAGTCTAGCTTTGAATCCGCGCGAATTGACTTCGAAAGGCATGTGAAGTAATTATCTCAAACACATGGTCTTTCTCGCGCGGCCCGCCGCCTAGCGACTGGTGTTAGCTGCGGGGGTTACCGCCGCCTGGTGAGACTGATTACGTTTGCCGGGATAAAGGGACCCTACCTCGTGTGTACAATACTAGAGGGAGCGTTATCTCTGCCGGTCAGGGCCTAAAGGCCTGCTCCGTCCCGGCTGAGGGGCTGTTCCGTCCCGGCTGAGAGGCTGCTCCGTCCCGGCTGAGGGGCTGCTCCGTCCCGGCTGAGGGGCTGCTCCGTCCCGGCTGAGCGCCTGCTCCGTCCCGGCTGAGGGGCTGCTCCGTCCCGGCTGAGGGGCTGCTCCGTCCCGGCTGAGGGGCTGCTCCGTCCCGGCCGAGGGGCTGCTCCGTCCCGGCTGAGGGGCTGCTCCGTCCCGGCTGAGGGGCTGCTCCGTCCCGGCCGAGGGGCTGCTCCGTCCCGGCTAAGGAGCTGCTCTGTCCCAGTGCGGAGTGTCTACCATGTACCATTCAGACGACGACGACGTTGTTCCCGGGGCTCACCGGTCGATCCGGAGGCTCACGAAATGATGCATACATACACCAGTCCACTCCATGACGCGAGAGGCCTTCTCACTGAGGCAGTTGGCCCCGGATCGACGCAGTAGCCTTCGATCGGTCCCTTACCGGCGCAGGGATCTGACGATTGACACAGAAAACCCATTTGAGCTCATCAGGCTTCTCGTTGACACGGGGCTGAGGGTCTTCGTTCGTTGCGGAGACCCCTGTCTGACACAGGGCCCCCCATTGTCTTATTGTGGACCCTTTCATTGTCATTTGCCATATCTCCCTCTACTGCCAGAGGACCCCGACCAACGCCAGAGGCTCTCTAACATGTGTGGTCCCGTCACTGTCTCTGTGCAGCAAATGGGTCTCTGGCCGACTCGATCCGTACCGACGCGGATCCCATGTCAGGCACCGCGGGCCCCTGGCCGACTTAGGGGTCCTGGGTAATGCAAGAGGTCTCTTGGCTGACATCTGTGGATCCAGGCGATGTCTGCTGGGGAAATGTACCCCCAGGGAAGCGCTCTGTGGGGGCAGTTGGTCACGGATTGGGCAGGGGCTTACACTGACATAAAAGAAGCCCTTACCGGGGCAGTGTCCAATAATTGGCACAGTGTCTCCAGTTCGACTTACTGGGCCTCTGGTCGAAACGGGGCGGGTAACCTCCCGTTTGGTATTGGAGCCTCTGACTGACCAGGACCCTAACGCTGCTGTATTGTGAACGCGGACCCTTTCATCGCCATTTCTCACACCCGCTTTCATTGTCAGAGGGCCCAAACCAACGCAAGATACCCTATGACTTTCGGGGGCAAATGTGTCCCTGACCAACCGTGGCCCTTGCTAGCACGGGATAGGCACCCTGGTAGACACTGTGAGCCCCTGGTCGACACAGGGGGCCTTTTTTATCTGCCCCGCAGGTCCCAATCCATGCAAGAGGCTTTTAGTGACAAGTGGACCCCGGCCTTTTGCCTGTTTTTTATAGAGGCCATCCGGCTCGCCATTGACGCAAGGGGCCTCTAGCTGACATTTGAGGGCTCTGCCCTACGGACCGCAGTCAATCAATATTATGTCTAGCGGACCCTTTGGGCCCTTTGGGCTGTTCAGTTGGGCTTTCATAACCTAAGGGGTGAGAGGGGGTGGGGGATACGTGCCCACTGTGCTCCCTGACTGCACTTCTGCGTACATGTAAATACCTGTACTCGCTGTATGCCTTAAGCGTTATTTGTTTCTCATTTAATATCTGAAATGTTTTGCTTCCTTGAGGCTCCTTCGTATTTGGCATGCCTTGTCTTGCGCGCACTTTAGACATTGCATTGGAAGATCATAGCATATTTGAGTTGACCAGAAATGAAGATGGTGGTGCGCTCCCTTGCTGGATGCTGGGCCGGCCTAGCCGGCTCCGTCCGGTCCGGTCCGGTTCGGGCCGGTCTGGGGCGGTTTGTACCGCCGGCTCGGGTCACCTTGCCCGGCGCGTCACACCAGGACACAGTCCTGCGTGGCGCACGGTGATTGGTCCGTGACCACGTGACCCGTGTCAGGGTCAGGCCGCGGGGCCGCGGGGAGTGAGGCTGTCGGAGCGGAGCCGGGCGAGTGCGGGCGTTGCCGAGATGTCGGCCTCCAGCGGAGGGGAAGCTTTGAGTTAAATATATCGCAAGCCATACCTTGAGTCAATCTCGGCCAGGCTTACAGAATTGTCAGACAGTCCGAGAGATTCGCCATCGATCCAAGACGCTGACCAATGTATTACATTGAGTTATCGTGCCTGTTTTTAGGTCTGGTGATGCGCCATATAGGCTCATATCTATATATCGGTATTTTGATGCAGCCATTTGATTCGTTTCAAAGCTCCTCAGATATACTCCAAAACATCCCAATCTGTTCCAATGCGTTCTAATATTGAACGGAACCCGAATCCAATCCCACCTACCTATATGATTCCAACTTCAAAATGTTGCAAATTCTCAGCTCTAATACGACCTGTCGGGCTACGGCTTTGTTATGTTGCTAACGTTTATATTTGAGTCGACTCACCGAGTGCTTGGTTGACTTCTGGTTGACATGGTTGGTTGCCATCTGACTCCCAATCACAACAAAATGGCGAAGGAACCCACCCTGACCTGACTCGACAAAAATTCGCTGGTTCAGGTATCGATTCTGCACCCCCTCGCACGGGTGTCACTTTATAGACTTTTGGGCGGCTCATCCCCCAATGCTGGCTTGAGCCCCCCCCCCTCCCCCATGTTCCTCTGAGCTCTGAGCTCCAAATTCGCTGGTTCAGGTATCGATTCTGCACCCCCTCGCACGGGTGTCACTTTATAAACTTTTGGGCGGCTCATCCCCCAATGCTGGCTTGAGCCCCCCCCCCCCCATGCTCCTCTGAGCTCCCCCATTGCATATGGGCAAAGAGTGATTCACTGAGCCACATGAATACAGAACATTTATATAACTATTGGCGTACCAGAGAGCATGTACTTAACATATCACCTTTAGTGTCATGATAGGGATGTACCAAATGGTGTCCTGCGGGTACTTAACGTTTTTGCCGTACTTACTTTTTCATATTTTAAGCTAGCCTGCAAATGCTTGCTAACTCCTTTCTTAAATGACGACGCCTGCACTGGGTTAAAGAACAACTGACTACAATGTGCGGTAGCTTAAAAAATGCAGCGTAGCCCAGATAATAGTGAACGCATGACATTTAAAGCGTTTCACAAGAGACGGCTCACATTTATTTGAGGTTGGAGGTCATTCTTACGCAGGAAAGCGCTTTCAACCTACAACTTATTAAGCTGAGATTTTTAGTTTTGATATCGAGGACACCAATTCAAGTTATCCTAATCCGAGAGAAATAAGGTTTAGGGGGTAGGTCAGGTCAACCTTCACGGCTGAGCCCTACAACCGATTTCAAAAAGTGGCACCCCGCCCTCGGTGTCAGGCGTAAGTGTGCTGGGCATAACACTTTTGTGTTGTTACGTAAGAAAATGCCTATTCCATTTCGATAATATGCTGGATCAGTCAGATTGGTGCGAGCTTATGAGTGGGCACGGCACATCGAGTAATCATCATTTCGACAGACAGTTGAGTTGTCCTGCTAGTCTTATATAAGGCCTGCGACAAATAATTCCGTACGTAGCCTATGTTCAAAGGAGCCTGATATGTGCGTTCCCAGCGCCCCCCCCCCCCCCCTCCCTCAGGCACAGATTTTTCGTTTTTCACCACAGAGACCCCCGAAACGAAAGTTAAAAATCGGCGTGATGTGTGATGCACTAAGCCCTGAACTCCAACCTTGAAAGAATCCTGGCTGCGCCCCTGCCCGTGGCCGCGTGCTGCTGATGTTTGCTCGCTGACGAGTGCATGCTGCGCCGCAGGACACCGACACCGCTGATGCCCTGGTCCGGTTCAGCCCGCCCGGTGACGGGTACGCCGAAGAACTCTACGTACCCACCGCCTACCGGACGATGGACGAAACTCTAATGCCGGAGAGCGACCAGCCGCCGCCGCCGTTCGAGTGGACGTGGCCACCTGCCGACGACCAGCCGGCAGGTGCGCCGCGGTTCGCCGGGCGGGTGGGGCGGCCGCTCACGGAGTCGGTGCCAGGTCTAGCTGGGGGCCATGGCGGGCGCTTGGCACGGGTCGTCAGGCCATCTTACGCAGACGAGGTTTCAAATGCCAGGGGTCGGTTAGAGAGTAAAGCGGATGAGCATGGCGATTGGCGGCCGAGTGGTACATTATTTCCCGTACGCGACATTGAATTTGGGGGGGGGGGGGGCAGACGGTTCATGACTGCAGGTCCAAACAAGAAGTAGGGTTGCAGTCAGTGGATAACAAAATAAGTTCGTGGGATAACGGCTTGATGTTTGAATTTACTCCCATACCAAATTATTGTGGCTAAATCTGTAAGTTAACAAACAACGAACTAGGTGGCCATCAACGCAAAATACCTATAGGGAACAGGACTAACTAAAGCTCCATTCGGGAAACCGCATATTGTTACTCATGTATATACAGTATTTATACACTTATGCCGCCATTGCATGTAGCGTTGGCCACCTGAGGTCATTCCCAGACTGTAAACTATCTTCCTGTCCGTCGCAGACATCAACAACAACATATTCAACAGCGACTCATCCAGCGTCTTCTTCCCGACCGCCCTGAAGAGATCGTCGGCACCGCTGGAGGACAGCGCGCCGGCCTACATGCTGGCGCCGCCGACGCAGGCCAAGCTGGAACAGCTGGAGCAGCTGCTGCAGGACATGAACCGCGAGCTGCAGCTGTCCGAGGCCGAGCTTTCGGACGACCTGGAGCTGGTGGGCTCGCCGCCCGACTACGAGGACGCGCTGGACGAGCTGCAGCGGGCGGAGCAGGAGGACGACGAGTCCGGGCCGCGCTCGCCGGCCGAGCTGGTCATCGACTACGAGCCAGCCGAGTACGCCAACTACGCCAGCTACGCCGACTACTACGACGCCGACCCGATACCGCTGAGCGTGCGCTCGGACCCAGAGTTCCGGCGCGCGGAACGGCTGGACATCAAGAAGCCCGGCCCCTGGTTCGGCGTCAACAACTACGCCTTCGACTACGACTATGACGGGAAGGCGCCGCCCATGGAGGAAGTGAGTAGAACTAGCTTCTCCTCGCAGAAGGCGTAGCGGTGCTGGTCAGTCCAGCTGAACCCAAAGATGTGCGTGTGTGTGTGAGAGAGACATTCGGTAACTGTTGTATTATAATCGTATATTATAACCCTTAGGATACACCATAAAAATGTCCAACATTTTAGGGCAATGCTTATGATAAAGAGTGAACAAAATTAAACAAAGAATCGATTTCGCAATCCATGGGGCACAAAAGACAGAAGATGTACTAAATCTACCCAGTCTTTCTCCAGAGATACCAAATTAAACAACCCTTTATGCTCCCACATCCTTATTCCCAATACCGGGACTGCAGTACATTCTATGCGAAGGGCTGCTCGACACATAGACTAAGCCGAAGGGTCTCAATGACGCGCAACGAGTATCATATGGGAAGTACCAGTATCATTAGTGCAGTCATCCAATCTCCAACATCATAGCATTCGATACACGGCACCGCGCAAGGCTGCTCGAAGCAGAGACGCCTAGACCTAATGATCTCGATAACTCACCGAGCATAAGGCTAGACGCTAGCTTTCTGCATCGAATCCATGTTCAAAACATCGCTTAAGGAATGATTTCTAAACGTATGCCACATGATGCATGAAGCAGTAAAATGAATTGCGCCATCCTGCGTTTAAGGTCGGTAATCTTCAGTTCAACGAATTCCAGATCAGATGGTGCTGAAAGATTAGGAACTGAATGTATTTCACACTGCTATGAAGCGTGGCATTTGTTTATTGACTTTGAGCAGCAAGCAGCAGTAAACTTTCACTGCGGGTCGGTCACTTTCAATGCTTTTGTTATTTGAATAACCGCTTCGTACGACCGGCAAGTAAGGCTTAGGAGTGGTAACCTGTGCTGCCCATGTTGGTTATTGCTGTCCCAACAACCCATGTTGGTTATTGCTATCTGCGAGGATAGCACGATGCTCCCCGGTATCGTTTCTTTGCTGTCCAAAAGTGACGAGCCTCCTTGACGGCCATTTCAGGATATGGGGCCGCTACCGATGGAGCCGATGGAGTCACCCATGTCCCCACCACTGCCCGTGTCTCGGCACAAGTCTGCAGGTGAGTGCCCACCGATGGAGCCGATGGAGTCGCCCGTGTCCCCACCACTGCCCGTGTCCCGGCACAAGTCTGCAGGTGAGTGCCTACCGATGGAGCCGATGGAGTCACCCATGTCCCCACCACTGTCCGTGTCTCGTCACAAGTCTGCAGGTGAGTGCCTATTGATGGAGCCGATGAAGTCGCTCATGTCCCCACCACTGCCCGTGTCCCGGCACAAATCTGCAGGTGAGTGCTTACCGTTGGAGCCGATGGAGTCGCCCATGCTCCCACCGCTGCCCGTGTCCCGGCACAAGTCTGCAGGTGAGTGCCTACCGATGGAGCCGATGGAGTCGCCCACGTCCCCACCGCTGCCCCTGTCCCCGGCACGACTATGTGGGTGAATGTCCAGAGGTCAGGAGGTGGGTCACCGGCGCAGCACTGGCCCAGACCGCGTGTGGTTTTAAACTAAGCCGCCGTCTCCGCGGCCTCGGCTTCGGCGGCTGTACGCCCGTCTGGCGCTGGCAGCCGCCGACTCGGCAGCCCTAGACCGGCAGGCTTTCACGGCAGCGAGACAAGCGAGGTATGAGTGTCTTGGAAGAGTGGTGCTGAGCAGCGGGGTGGACTCAGGACTGGTATTTCATGGAAAATGCGTAGATTTGCTGCGTGATGGACACAGTTTAGATATATTGCATTGAACTTAACAAACACTCGCTTTGTGAGGCTTCTTAAGCCTACACGGAAACATCAGATGGCATCCAGATGCATGGCATTGCTACTGCTTCTTCACATTTCTCAAACACATCTCAATGCACATTGAAGCGCATACATATAATTGTGAGCTTATTGAGAGATTTTCAAGCTAATACACGGAAAGCAGAGTAATCATGAACCAAAGACGAAGCCATGGGAGCGGGAGACAACAGGAGGAGGGGGGGGGGGGGGGGGTCCCACTCCGCTCACTCCATCCCTCCTCACCTCACAATCAGCCGGGGACAGGCTTTTCAGGGGCAAAACCCATCCCTCAGAGCCCTTCCCATTGGCCCCAAGAATGCATCAGGTGCCCGAAGGTCTCTAGATTATTTTGCATGCGTAAAAATTAAACTAAAACCGATGAGGAAAGCGAATTGAGGGCGATGAGAGGAGTCGTGAGGCCACTCAGGCAGGGATTGCTGCTACTAAGAATAGAGGATGTGACAAAACCGCCCAGCGGGTGCTGTTCAACGGGAAACTTTATTAAGCCCCGACCTTTCCAGCCAAAGATGACTCAAAGATGGCTGCCAGCCAAAGTCGGTGAGGCAGCTGCCAGTGCCGCACTGGCCTTATTCGTTCCCAACCTACGCCCTGCGGTGACGGGTTTATCTGACATTCCCCTCCCCCTTCGACGAAGTCCTGTCTTCGCACCGGTCATGAACTATAGCTATTTTCTTCATTCCTATTAGGTGGATACCAAACGGTGGCTAATATCTAAATTATCATTCTATGCCCTGAAATGTGCTGCACTCCTCGCACGACCATATCAACTATGAAACGATGTGTCCATATCAACTATGAAACGAAACATTTGCATAAGTAGCACCAGGCTCCACTACCAGAGTTCGTTTGGTGGATAGGTGCATAGCAACTCTCGAGTGTGAGCCAGTTAGCAGAAGGCATCGACTCTATGTCGGCTGAAAGTAGAGTAGCGAGCCCGTCTGTCCTCCAACCAGTGGGGGCACTGGCCTGCGCTCGCCTACCAGTGGCTTGTGACGCACTGCATCAAGTATCACATGTGTGGAATGAACCTGACCTACGACCGACACTGCAGCCACCGACTGGGTGTGGGCCTGACTGATTGCGCTGCTACTGACACCACCCGGCATGAAAGCGGTCGGAGGGACTGCCGGTCCCAGTCGCGTCTCGACGCTGGCGCTGACACGACTGCATCCCATGTCGCCATCGCACGTGCCGTCCGCCGTGCGCCAAGAGGTGCTCGCCGCCTGCCGCGTGCCGAGAGGATGCCACCCGTCCCGCGTCAGACGTGGCGCGGCCGGCGCCGGCGGGGAGCGGGCGCCGCGTCCCTTAGTGAGCCGGCGCCGGCGAGGAGCGGGCACCGCGTCCCTTAGTAAGCCGGCGCCGGCGGGGAGCGGGCACCGCGTCCCTTAGTGAGCCGGCGCCGGCGAGGAGCGGGCGCCGCCTCCCTCAGCGAGCTGACGCCGGCGGGGAGTGGGCGTCGCGTTCGCCGGCGCGCCGCGCGTTCCGCTCGGTCGCGCCGCGTGGCGCCTCGTTATCGCGTCCTCTCGCCAGCCGAGGCCGGGCACGGTGCCTCCCAGACCTGGCTGACCGGTCGGTCGGCGCGGCCAGAAGCGAGTCGCGGCTGTGATTGGGCGCCTTCCGCCGCCGGGCGAGGCCGGTCGGAGAGCCGGGTGCGCCCGGTAATTGACTACGCCGAGCTCCGGCTCTTGTTACCCACGTGATTGCCCGCCGCCGAGCTGCTTATTTGCTCGCCTTTGTAGCCGGCGTTGTCATGGCCACGGGCGCAAACAGTGCAGAGAGCGGCGGCCGGCCGGCTCCGGCCACGCTCCGACCTGGCTCCGTCTCACACGCCACAACACTCCGAGGTCCCCAACGACGCGAGCACCGCGGGGCTCACGCCGCAGCAATGGGCCAAGACGGTCGAGCCGATCGCCTTTGCCCATTTCGCCCGCGCCGGGGAGTCAACTCTTCGCCCACGCGGTTGTGCCCCGTTGCCCCACAGTCAGACCTCCAGTGTCTCGCGGCAGTCCGATCGCGGGGCGTACATTCACCTTCGGAGGACACTGCCGGCTCCCTTGGGTAGTCATGCTGCGGGGACCGCAACTCCAGGTCATCGCTGGTGTTACCAAGAGTCACGCCAGACCAGCTACGAGCCTGATTTTGCGGGGCACAGCTGCTTTTTCCGAAGGTGGAAAGGAGCCTTGCATTATGGTGCACCCAGGTCTTCGCCCAGGCGAGCGAGCAGGTCCAAACACCGAGGTCGTCGCTGTTGTACGGGACCACGGTGGTTAAAAGTGTCCCTCGGAGAGAACTGCTATCTCTGTCTTCTATCCTGCGGCGGCAGAGAACTGCTATCCCATCCCAGGTTGCACCGGCAAACTTGGCTGGATGACGGAGACCTATTGGTTTGCCCCCAGCCTGTCGTCCATTAGTGTCACCGGTACGTTGGCTCATCACATCACACACACCGCCTGTACACATGCTATGTTTCGTCACCGGCCACCTGGTCCGTCTGGTGCGGTAACGGCCACGGTGACAGCCACGTTAACAACAAAAGTTTTTTATGCGTGCGGGGATGACGGCAAAGATTCGTGACGGACCGCGCCCAGATGGGCCCTTTGGAAACGAAGCGCGCTCGGAGCGGACTCAGGGAAGAGATCCCGGGGCCGACTTACGGCCTGCCCGGCTCGCCACCGCACCAGATCGGTGGATGGCGCAGAAACGACGGATGAAGTCCTCAGACAGACTCGCGTGAAGCCAGTCGATGTGAAACGGCTGCTTCGATAGGCAGAATGGATGGCACAGAAACGACGGATTAAGTCCCCAGACAGACTCGCGTGAAGCCAGTCGATGTAAAACGGCTGCTTCGATAGACAGAATCGGTATGATAAGATCATCGTTGCTATAGGTCTTATGACAATAGTCGACATGACAATAGGTCGACATGTTCTGGCGTTCTTGACGTACTGTCCAGCAACGTTTGTTATTCGGACAAATCTCCAATCTTGTCCGATGCTTATCAGAATTGTCAGCCTGTCTGACCTGATTGTCTACGCGTTTGTGATTGTTCTCATCCTGCATATCTCTTCCGCGCATTTTGTTTTGTTCGTCATCTCCTCTTGAAATGTATCTTATGTTGCCATGAATCCTTTTAAGATTCATTTCCGGCTCTATATAACCATCCTGTATCCCATTACAAACACCACCCGTTGTCACAAAATGTGCACAGGTAGGCGTCTATTGCATAATGTTCCAGAGGTACATTATTACCGCACAGATGCGCCCGTGATGTTTTGCTTCAGTAGCACGGAGCTGGTGCACGGGGCCGGCAGCGCGATGCCTCAGCTGCGCGAAAACAGGACACAGAGGCGTGCTATTCCCGCCACCCCAGCCTCGCAGAACTGTCACAAAGAGACGTCTGCTTCCCGCCGGCTCAGGCATACAGAGATGCCTTAACTGAACGGGCACACTGGTGCATCAAGGTGTCTTTCGCTCGTGCTTTTCAGATATGGCGGCTGTCTGCGCCACCTGTGTTGTAAAGAGCTCCAGTCTCCGCCCGTTGAGCTTTATGGCGTTGGCTCTGGGAGGCGTCCCTTCGTGTACCACATGTGCGTGGCACCATGGCGTGTGAGGGGACGAGCCGGAGGGGGGAGGGGGCGGAGAAAAGGTGGGGTTTTTGTGGCGCCGTCCTCGCCGCCGTAGCTCTGTCAGCCGTCAGTGGCGGGCACGGAGCGTGCGGCGGCGGCAGCTGGGCCAGTCTGCGCCGGGCGGGGGCGGCGACGGCGGTGCTCTGCCCGCCGGCTGGGCATGAAGCCGCGCCCGCGCCGCTGCGTCCCGACCGTGCGAGCATGCTGCCGGTCTGGCTGCATGCCCCGCTGCTGCTGCTGCTGCTGCTGCTGCTCGGGCATGACATCGGCCCGGCGCCGGTGGGCCGGCCCGCAGGTACGGACGGAGGCTGGGCGCCAGCCGGCGGACGGCGCCATCCGCCGCGCGGCGAGTGCTGACGTGGGCCGTCGTGTGACGCGTGACGTGCTGCGTGACATGCTCCGTGACGTGCTCTGCTGGTGCTGACGTGTGCGATTTGTAGCGGACAGCAGTAGTTCTTTCGAGCCGGCGATGGTCCGAGGGGAGCCTTTCGCCGACGTGATGCGCCGGGCTACTGCTTCGCCGTTCGGTGGCTATCTGCTACTTTTATAGATGCTCTGCTCACTCAAAATACTTGGCGCGGAGATCCGCATACTCTAATGAGGACTTAGTAAAAGGTCTCGCAAATCGTGGTTTTTTACTGGATCGTGCGCGCATAAAGCAGCCGGCGGTTTTTAATCCACCTCTGTTGGGGGAGGGGGGGGGGGGGGGGGGGGAGGAGGCGTTAAACGCCCTCGGTTCATTTCTAACATAGCTTTGGAACGATTGAGATCATCAATCTAAACTGCTCAGCAGCTGTCGAAACATGTTCAAGACGCCTTATTTTAAAAAAGCAGATGTAGTTAGGGCAGTCTACGCCAGGTCAAAATAGCGTGATAACACGGACCACAGTATATAGCCGTTTCGGCGTTTAAGTCTGTTCGATGTCAAAAAAGGTTCAGATATGTGGAATGCCTTTATACGGCTTCTTTAAAAGCTCAGACCATATTAGGTCACGCTACAATGGTGGCGAAAATTACTCTTTTGTATAAACAGTGGCCGCTAAACTTCCATTATATTTGGAGTGTGGCATTGCTTTATGATAGTGCCGGTCAACAGCTGGTGTCATTGGCCACACTAGGTCAGCTTAAGCCCAAGGTCATGCAGTCATGTCAAAATGACGTCACACAGTAAAAAGCTGAAAGCGTTGTATGCTCGAGCAGTATCATTCGAGACCACGGCTTGAGTCACACCACCTGTATCAAATTGGTGATGGCTCCATTCGGATATAGGCCAGTTTAGGTGAAGTCGGCTGAATGCACATAGTAAAGGCATAGACGCGGGTTATCCAAAGTCGCTCTCAATAGATGGAGGGTGGTAAATACATGCAAGTGTCGGCTTGAAACCTCAAATCGGCCTGAATGTTTTGTTGGCACACCCTGCTGGCGAAACATCTTCTTTCGTTGGTACGGCCATCCAGGTATAAGGCAAACGCTAATCATATCATCATTGTAAATCTTCATAATCCTAATCATTGTTATATCATCATCATAATCATCATCATATCATCATCATAATAATCATCGTTGTAAATCTTCCTTGTGTTGCTTGCATCTGCCGTGAAACAATTTGGGTTCAGAGATTTTTTCAGCTTGGACCCCACACGTTTGGGGTAACAGTCGTTTAAATCTCCCGTTTCCGACCATACCGGTACCATCACGCCTAAACACGCACCTACACACACAAAACACCGATTCACCTACAAAATGTTTAGAAACACAACAAGCGACGCGCTGCGTGAAATGCAAATGAAGCATTTACGAAAGCAAAGCAAGTATTGCTCTTGTAGAAAATAGTAGCCGCCGTTTTCCACGTGCTGTTGAAAGAATTAACCAACTTTTGGCGTTTGCGGTAAAACAGCATCACCTAACCCGGAACAACAAAAAACGTGCGTAGCCAGCGCCGCGTCATCGATTAACACCGTGCTACGTGCCGTTCACATGAGCTCAGCACCCGAAGCTCTAGGCACTATACGGTGTGAAACGTGGCATGATAGGCCACCGCTCAGGCCTGCGAGGCTTCTTTCGTGTACCCACCAAACACTGCTCAGCTGACGTGGACCTAGGGCAGCTGAGGCGGGTGTGTCCGGTCTCGCTCGCTCTGGAGGTGCCGCCCGTTTCGGGGGTGGTCAGGTAACACGCATGCAGTTCAGGGGTGTCCTCTACTGTCTGGGGAATGTGCAAATGTGCTAGGCAGTTGAGCTCTGGTTATGTGGTGATGTTCAGCCTGAGACACCTGTTTAGTAAGCAGCGTAAACGTTTGTATCGGTATTGGCTACTAAAAAGACATTGGTTTATTTGTTTGCTGTCCACGTTCCAAAACTGTAACCATAAAAAGTAGCCCCATCTATTCGTGATACAAGGTCTCCGAACGTAGCAACGGCAGAAAGAATAGGTCGAAGGAGAATTCGAGTTTGTGTAGCGTTACAGTCGACACCGCTGCTCCGCTTGATTACAGATGACACAAGAGTAAACAGCATTGCGATTCGCTATTGTCTTACTTCCCGTTGGACGACGCCTTGCCCTTTTGACCACATATAGTCCCTTCAGTTGCCGTTCATACGATGTTTGTCGGCCGCTGGTTCACAGGCTTTATCGGCACGGGCTACCGTCAAGCTTTTGTTGGCGTGTCGGAGATCAGAACTGCCGCGTCTTCATTCCGTTGTAGGATCAGAACTGCCGCGTCTTCATTCCGTTGTAGGATCAGAACTGCCGCGTCTTCATTCCGTTGTAGTCTCAGACGCGTCTGCGCGCTCGCGCGCAGGCCGTATCACCCACGGCGCCGAGTGTAGCGTGTGCCGTCGTCCACAGAGGACTTCTCCGTGGACAGTGTGGACAGCGAGTCGCAGCGTGTGGACGAGGTGGCGAAGGACGTCACCGTGGCCCCGGCGGCACAAACCGAGCCCACGGCGACAGATACCCCCCAGGTACGAACCGAAAGACTCCCGCGTCGCGCGCCGCGGTCATGGCACCGAACACCATGAACTAAATGCTTTGATTATTCGAACTCACCTACGGTGCTGGGATCGAAGTCTGAGTGTTCGACAGTTGGCTGACCTTTGTTGCTTGAAGCAAGTACCACGTGTTTTCCTCGGGCGAGAAACACGCCCGTCATAAATCAGTACCGCATTTGTGCTGCCACATATGCACCTGTGATAGTCTTATCGTCCATAGCGTGTTACGCTGCCACATGTAGCATGGCTGTATGCCCGAACGCATTATTCGCCGGCGAGACGGTAATTTCTTGCTGCTGTCACCTCATGTTGAGCGAATGTCACGCACAGACGTGCGTGGATGCTGCCACAATAGATTGGGCATACAGCCTGATCGGGTTGGAGAAAAGGCAGAGTTTCCGTCTTCGAGTGTCACGCCATCTGCTGGGACACTAGCACGAGAATCCGCCCCCGCTTTGTCCGCCCCAGCTGTGTCCTGGCCGTGGCATGACGCAGCTTCGCACAAACACGGCAACTCTTGCTGTGACATTACGGCACACTGTGACATGATGGCGCACTGTGACATGACGGCACACTGACACATCGGCACACTGACACAACGCCACGCTGTGACACGACGACACACCGTGACATGGCACACTGACACGACGCCACATTATGACACAACAGCACGCTGCATCATGACATTTTACCGCGGCGCGACTGCAACGCAACGACTCACGTGGACAGGCGCTGTTGTTACACTGTGACAAGTCACGACATTGTGACGCAATGGCCACCTTGACGCGGTGACGGCTTATCACAGGCGACTGAACAACGAAACAAGAAGTCCCTGACGAGCAAGTTCACGCGCTACCCGGACCCGAAGGACGCCATCGACACCACTTACACCTACCTGAAAGTGAAGGACTCGTAAGTATAGTCTGTGCTCCCGACAGGGGCTGACGTACAAGAGATGTGCGCACCTGCTGCGCTCTCCGTCTGTGTGTGTAGGTACTTTGTGCACGTACAGCGACCGTTGAACCCCACATGCTGGCATGGCATGACGAGCAGGATTCAGGAGTGATTAGTCGAGCCCCTGACACACAGCTGGGCGGTGGTGATAAACGGTCAGGGCGCTCAACTCTGAACCTGTTGGTCGGGGTTTGGGCCCGGTCATGCCACCACCGCATTCCTCACGATACCTCCTAATAAAGGCACCCGTCTCGAAATCGCCCTGGCGGTCGGTGAGAGGTAAAGTTCCAGCCACCATCAGCAATCAAGACACACAGTTCTGGTTGGTTTGGTGTCCAACGGCACATTCACGCCGAAGTCACTTCGCCAGCTGGCAGCTCGGAAGGATCTGTGAAGAGGCATAGGTCGCTTCATGCGTGCACTTGATTAGTTTGTCTCTTCCCCTGTGTATTTTAAAGAGTCACCATTTTGGGCATCGGTGGCATTATACACGGCGCTACGCGCGGGACAAAATGGACGCAGGAATAAACTACAGTTATTGGGGTGTCCTTTTTGCCCCAACGTGTTGAGATGTATTTGTCTGCTTGGGTGTCACAAGATAATGAATTATTGTGTTCGCAGATTCCAAAAGAACAACGTAAATAATAACGTTCGCAGTCTAAACATTATGTAAACTTTACTTTTGGTGAAAACGTGCTCGTTGCACGACACGTGTGGTAATCTCTATGGCCTGATGAAAACGCTATATTTTGCGAAGAAACGGATAAAGATAGCTCTTTACGCTGCCGTTTGGTGGAATTCTTCACTCCCTCTCCAATAAACAATAAATTTGTAAATGCCTGCGAAGGCAGTGAGCTTTTAGCTGGTCATTGGCATGGTTACCATGACTAACGTGCCTGTCATTGGCATTGCGTATCCAGCGCGTTTTCGGGGGGAGGGGGGGGGGGAGCAAAATTGACATCATGCAACGTGCGCCATCACATTTTCAGCGTTCGAGAGCCATTGCGTACGCAGACGTAGACCGACTCAATCTGTCGCCTTTTAGGTCGAAACATTGGGGACTTGGAGTGTAACCCGCCAACAAAGATGTCTGCAACGCCTGCAATCGGCGTTAGTTTCGCGTTCGGTATCTACACTCTGCTTCCTTCCCTCTCCGTCTCTCATGCCGATCCACCCTGTATGAGAAACCGGATGGCTGCTGCTGACTTGGCGAATACGTTCGGCAGATTCCAGACCTGGAAGAGCGGAAAGCAGCTGGTGGAGCAGCTGGAGGAGGACCTATCTCTGCCGCGCAACACCTTCGACAACATCAGGTACTGCACTGCATCGCCGCGCGCGGCGCAGGTGTGCCAGCCGCGGTCGGTTGGGGCTGTGAAAAAGGCTGTGGTTCGCTTGACCTAGATGCTTTGTTGACGCGTCCTTGGTGCGTTCAGTTAAGGTAAATACGCCACTTTCTTTGCATTTTTCACTTATTTTTGGATCAAACGCTTCCGATTCCATCGCTAATGCCAGTTTTCTTGGAAGCGTGATTAGCCACAAATTTCTATTTGTACTAGCCACTGCGACTGGAGAGATACCGATGGATTCCCTGCCCACCACTATGAAAGTTATGCTTTCATTTGCTCTGTTTTCCATGGCGTGTGCTATGTACTGTTAACGCTACGTTATTTGAACAAGACACTTGTGCAAAAATGTTGAAAAACACTCTATTTGTATTTCTGTTTCTTAAAACAAACACCGCAGCGCACCTTGGCTTCAGGAACTAGACCTGTCACACGGCTAGGTGGCGCAATGGTTCAAAAATCTCCACAAATACACTTCGGTAAATGGCTTACGCCCGTCCGTTGTGCCAACCACCCATGTTCATCTTATACAGACATCATTTATTGCTACTGGAGGTGTTTCTTTTAACCTCGCAGGCTCGTATGCTCGGGTTAAAAAAGCTTGAAAGGGATACTTCTAGTCCGTAATAGCCGACGAAGGCCGCAGCAGATTCTGCCGTTGTCAGCTATCACGGACGAGAGGCACCACTTTTAAACTCTGCCCGCACTTTGCTTTTCAAGGCCTTTGGGCTAAAAGGTGCCAATTTCTTCATCATCACAATTCTCATGCTGTTTTTTGTTTACAAGATCAACGTGAATTCACCCCGAAGGTGACAATGAATATCATAGTTCATGTCTTAAATGCGCCAATATCGCCCATACCTGAAATGAACTCTGGGACTTTAAAGAAGTCCCAGGGCCCCAAAGTCCCAAGGAGTCTGGTGCGGTGACGAAACGCTGACCGCTCTCGTCGGACTTAATAATTATTAAAACTAAATTGCTTATTGTGTCTTGTTCGGGCTGTAGTGGCAGTGCTCAGCGCTGTTATTACACACGACTGGTCTTGAGGCTTAAGCAGGGTATGTTCTTGAAATGTTGTCTGCGCAATGTGATTTGGCTGATGTTTCGGTTCCCTGTACCGCGCGAAGGCTAGAAATAGACCAATACTGGGCGGCTTGTGATCAGTGCGTGCTGGGAGTATTGGACTGCCTCTGAGGTGCCGCGTACTGATGCTGCGTCCACTGCTGCCTGTCATCATAATATGATACCATGAGTGCAGCCGTCTGGTCTTCCCCGTGTGCGAAATCGTGCTTTTCTGCATTAAGCGGTCATATCGTCCATATGCGTCAGGGTGTGAGGCACATGTCATCCTTGTCCAGGGTAAGCAGGGGTCTACGTTTATGTTCGAAACTGGGCAGGCGGGACCGGCGGGTTAGGCTGCAGTCGTGTGCTGCAGTAGTGGCGGGTTGGGTTGCAGCCTTCTGCCGCAGTAGTGGCGAGTTAGGCTGCAATCTTTTGCTGCAGTAGTGGAGGGTTAGGCTGCAATCGTGTACTGCAGTAGTGGAGGGTTAGGCTGCAGTCGTGTGCTGCAGTAGTGGCGGGTTAGGCTGCAGTCGTGTGCTGCAGTAGTGGCGGGTTAGCTGCAGTCGTGTGCTGCAGTAGTGGCAGGTCAGGCTGCAGTCGTGTGCTGCAGTAGTGGCGGCTTAGTCTACAGCCGTCTGCTGCATTATTGAGCACTGGTACATTACATTTTGAGCGGTAGTGAAGTTTCGTTGTCATATAACGAGGGCTTCGCTTTTTTGCAGAGTTGTCGGCGACCAAGTGATGTTTAAAGTAAAACCGAACCCAGTTGGTTACAACTCATCAGTAGTGGCGGCCAAAATAGGTGAGCTGTGTTCGTCGAGTCTGATGCCCTGTACATTGCACCAGGGCGGCCCTCCTGCCTGATGTTCAAACGATGTGGGCCTAAGCACGACGCATCGTATGGACGTAGCGTATCGGCCTACGCTCGTGCAGATTTCACTGGCATGCACCCACTAGTAAGACATGTTATCCTGTAGATGACAGTTGCATGCCCACCGCTACATTACTGTGAGGACACGTCGGCGCTCTTACCATGGCAACTCTGAATAGAAATTTCGCGATCGAGAATGTCGTGCAATGTCGTTTATCAAACAACATGACGCGGCTGGTTGCGATAAACAGCATGACGGCGAATGCTAAGACATTTTTACCATTCCTTCGCTCATATATCGTGACATAAATTTTAACTCTCTACTTTGGATCATTAAATATCATGGTATGTTTTCGGCTGGTATTTTCCTGTTGTTCACCATGGCGACCAACTTACTTCTTGAGTGTTTTTTTTTTGTAACGTACCATCATCATTGTCATTATGTCATGTCGCGCTGTAATATAACATAAAAGTAGTTATTAATCCTAGCTATTGGAAAACTCATCTTCCATTGCACTGTTCCTCTTTTGCCATGCATTGTGATGGCAAAACATCGAATTTGAAGCAGCCCCAGGGGAGAGTAAGGAGAGTTGTATCCGTTTTTACTCTGAGGTCCCTCCTACCATAACTCGTGAGAATAAGACTAATAGCATTCTATCTGCAAACACCTACAACCTTCAGATCCACATGATGCGGTAAAGATTTGGAGATAGCGTTTTCGTTCTTTAACGAATGTTTTCTGAATAACCCCCTTTCAACTGAGAGAACTTGCCCCACCCTGGGGTGAATTGCACCCTATCGTGGGGGAAGCTGTGATGGTATTCTTTTTTATCACAGCGTAAGCTGTATCGCCAACAAGCTGAATGCTTCGCTACATGTAGATTAAATCTGCTCGTCTGTGCTATTTCACAATCGTCGTGCTTGCTGCACGACGCATTTTTTTCTCTTTTATCAATCAGCGTTTGTTTTACGACCACTGTCACGTCAGTTGCCGTTGCTCAGGTCGAAATCATCAGTCGGCATAGATAATGTGAATGTCGTTTTGTTTTTTGTATGACATTAAGTCATGTATATGATGGCATTAACCATTGGCAGCAAGCCAGTCAGTGACATATTGTCGGTACATTGTGCTATTGATACAATATGTTCCATGTACAGCTGATACAACATGTATCGCCCGACATCTGGGAACGACGTTCGCGCAACCCCGAAATCCTTGGCAAGCAGTCGCCAAATGTTTTGCATTATATACGACATGTCTCCTTCCCAACCGCAGCGAGAGGTTAAACAAATTACGTGATTAAACTGCAGGAAACAGACAACGCAACATTCGTTATCACTAACAGCATGAAATTCGAGGAGGTATTACGTATGTATCTTCATACAACCGCCCCAGAGATTTCGCCGAGCTTTAAAACTCATCATTCAGAAGGCTTCTGCGAGAGCGGATGCTAGCGACCAGTTTTTCTGACAGAGGTCTGTGTTTCCAGGGGGCCTGCGAGGATCACTGGAGAAAGATCTTGGCGTGACGATTGTGGCGGCAGGAGTTGGTGACGGGGTAAGCCACGAGCTCAGCCTATACGTCGGGAGAAGCCTTCCAGTGCAATGCTTCCAGTACAGCAGAACTTATGAAACTAATGCACAATGTAAACTTGGCAATGTATAAGTTCGTCCCGGGGATATACTTGTGCTGGATTGTAGCCCAGTGGAATCGATTTCGATTCCAGTGTGTGTTTTTGAAATGTATTTCGACTCGATACCTTCTCCGATAACAGCTCAAGCTAGTGTTCTCAATCTGGAATCGACTACCAACTCCGATTCGAGACTCTTTTTTTCTTGCACTTGATTCCGCTAATGAATCCAATGATGCATACCGATTTCGAAATGAGAACTTAAGTCGCTTGACATTCACGAATCGTCATTGCAAAGCTAGAACATTTTTGTTTGCTTGCAACAAATAGCGGCTGATCAATTTTATGTTCAAAGCTGCCAGTCTTGATGTAGGCATTACGCCTTGGGGAAGAAGACGAAGATGTGCACGAAGTCAACTAACTGGTACTAAATTAATCAAAGAGGTTTTTGTGCCCCCAGGTATTCATCACCAATGCTGCTAAATTTGCACTTGGCAGGCTGCCATAGGTTTTTAAGTTAGATACCTTACCAAGGCGTTTCGATATTCCAGATAACCTAATTTTTTGTCATGCATGGTAAGGTTAGTATGCGGGCCACTCTAGAATGATATACCAAGTACGCCAAACTCTACCAGCCATTTACAGGACATTTGATTACAAATATGTTTATTATGGCTATTGTTTAAATTCCGTATGCACGGTTTAGGCAAGCGGTGCCCAGTGAGCTCCCAAGAAGTTAGATATTTGTTCACTTCACCAAAGCTACATGTAATTTTTATGTCTGACAAATTTCTTCCCAAGAGAGCTTTTATCCCAGACAAACTTTTGCCATATATGAACTCTAGCGCAACGTACTTTGGTCTTTCACAAGCTTTTGTCTTAAGCAGTTCTTGTCCTTTACGAACTGTAGCACGACGAATATTTGTCCGCGATAAAATTTTGCTGTAGAAAAACGTTTAAACCAAGAAAACGTTTTTGCCTTTTTCTCTATTTCCTCGACCATCTTTATACTATGTTAATTACAGCCCGACGTTGTTTTGGCGGACACAACACCTGTTCGCGACGAATTTCTGTGCGTCGAGCTTCTGTCCGTCGAAATTTCGCCATACCAGCATCTTTTATGCGAGTTTCCGCCCTACAATTGCTTACATAAATTCCGTTTGAACATTACGCTATGCTGTGGCTTTTTAAGGGACAAACGCCTTTTTAAGGGACCAGCATCTTTTATGCGAATTTCCGCCCTACAATTGCTTACATAAATTCCGTTTGAACATTACGCTATGCTGTGGCTTTTTAAGGGACAAATGCCTATCTTTTAAGAGGTGTCCTCAGACTTCAGACATTCTTCGTCTGTGTTTTAGTTGTAAGCTTCTTGAACTAGAAGGGAACAGGCCAGCTGCTATCTTGAAGTTATAAACTTAAGGGAGCGGGCATTAAATGACTGCAAGAAATTCACCACTACGGCTTCTGATTGTACAATGATTAAGTGGCCTGTTTATAAACCGATGTCACTCAGAGACCTCATCAGGATTTGTTGTGTACCCTACAGAGATATTGAGGACTAAGTAAATGCCGACTTTATAACGAAATGTGGTCAACAATTTGCATTAATATGACCAGCCCATCTTCGTCCGGGGATTTTAACCTTCAGTCAGAGTCGATTAGTGAATACAATTATGTGGCATAGTTTTGAACATGTGCGCTCGTAAGTTTTCACACCAAAAGTCCCTACTCCCAGCGTTGCAGTCTCCGTAGGTGGCGCGGCGTTCGCCCCGCGGTCAACACTGGGTGGCGATTAACGGGCGGATGAGCATGATAAAGTGTCTGAAATAAGTATTTTTGAACGCTTTAGGACATCAGTTTGTAAGTTTAGAAGACAGTTTTGGCGGATATTTCACCCACTTCATTTTCAGATTGATAGTAGGAACAGATTAGCACCTATAGCACGGCGAACTAGTGTTCAAACCTGGCAGTTGAACCAGAAGAGCAAGGTTAGTAGCCGTTCGGCGATAGTCGTGCATTATATTTATTTCTTTCTTTCTTTTTGCAGCTGTTCTGCTGCGTTTTACGTTCAAGGCGGATGTGGCCAGATAATGGTCGCTGCAGTGGCTCGGCACGAGGGTTGTCGTCGGGCAATCATCTGTATTTTGTTGGGCACCGATGACTGAAACCATAGTTTGGTAATTTACAGAGTCGATTTTACGTGGCTTCAGACGTTGTTGGGCGTGTCCGGCCTCGGGAATGAAGGCTGTAAATTGGTAGCACAACTTTTATATGCTGCCACGGAAATTCCTGTCAGTAACTGCAAGGCGAGTTGCAGTCTGCTCCGCAACACTCGCGTTAGGCATCCTCGATACAGTTAAGGGGAGTGTGCCTGGTCAAGTCGGAATATTTAACTGTGCGCGTAGGATGAAAAGGAATTTCAATTTGAAAATGTTGATGTCGTTGGCTTCTACCAATTCGCCTCCACTGACGAGATATTGGCACAGCCCCCATTTTTTTTTCGTTTGTCTTGAAGAGCAAAGTTATTGGGCGGCCCCCAATCAATACTCACTGGTAAGCACATCGACGTCATTGAGAAGGTATCGTTAGCTCTAGCCAATGGCTTTTCGAGGATGTCGCTTGTCAGCACTGACAGCAGCGTGCGAACACAGCGATGGCGGCGGCCATTACGTTCTTTTTTTGTTTACATTCAGCTCAGGGCTGCAGGTGTACAGGGCTGGCCGTTTGGCAAGGCTGGTCAGTTGATACGCACCGCGGTTAATTCATGTTGGCTAACTTCATAATAAGATGAGGCACATGTATTGCTTAGTGTCAATCGGCTGCACTAGGCTCTATGAAAATGTAATTGTTTTACGTTGTTTTGGCAGCGGCTATAGGCGGCTAAGACCCCTACACTCTGATATTAATGACCAGATTTCGAATGCACGTGCACCGAACTCAGCGTTTGAAATAACAAGGCAACATGCGCTGACATTTTTGCTGCGATGTCGCTAGTACACCAGGCATGTTCAGGGTATCATACTTTTCCGTCTCGGATTACGTAAGGGATATTAAAGTGTGTACCGTTCTATACCGCCAGCGCTCTCTCTATACGCACGAGACCGTAGCAAGCGAGATAATGGCCACGTCACTAGCGCGCGGCTCCTCGCCACGCATGAGCCAGTGCATTCGTCCTTTCATGTCCGCTGATTGGTTCACTTTTAAGCATTGTATTTATTCAGGCACAGCCATCGACGCGATCGATTAAATGAAATAAGCAGAAACTCTTGCAAGACCCAAACGCATCTGTAAGCAACAAAAGTAGCCATAGATTAGTTGCAAAACCCCCCTCAGGTGTGTATTTGGAAAATGGAAAACACTAGACACTTTCCCTCTAATGTTGTTTTGGTGGCTAATGTCAAGCGATTACCGCTATCAGCTTAGTCAACTGGCGTTGATCACCCAGTTTTCGTAACATAGTTATTAAATATTCACGTCGAAGTAGAGATCAATACATTTCATGGGTTCTTCCGAGCGTAGGCGGCTAGCGTTTTTAGAAGCTAATATTCCATTGCTTCATTTTAATCACCTGTCAAGTCATCGAGGTAGAATGACGAGACTGGAGTCAGCCCGCAGGACCCGAAGCATAGTTAAATAATGGCAACACATTCAGGTAATAACATAAAACTAGACCAGAGCCGGCAAAGCATATGCCCCATGTACTTAAAAGACATGCAGCTTGCAGCAAAAATAGAAAATGCTCTACGAATGCTTTACTCGTAAAATATGACTAGCCAACCAGCTGCACTCGAGTGAATAAGACATCGCAGACTTAATTCGCTGTGCTCCTTTTACATGTGAAACAATTATTATAAACCTTCAATGTCGATATGGTTTTGAGTTCTCAGTCGTCATCTTCTGCTTGTGCTAAGGCCTCAGAAAATTGGCGTAGGGGGAAGACAAATTCACCGCGTGGAGGGACAGCCCGGATATTGGAGGGGGCGGGAGCAAATGGTCCACACAAAAGAATACAAAGACACCTGTGCACATAGATAGATAGATAGGTGTGCACACACCTGGGCTAAGACCGGGTATAAAGACCAGAGCTGTCTCACATCAGTCGGCACCCCAGTGCCACATAAGCTTTCCCAAGATGGGAGAAAGACGCCGAAAAGAGTGCGCGATGTTCGAAGACTGTCACAAAACGCTCAACAAATGCATCGATCAAATAATGTATCGATAATAACAAACAACAAATTTATCGAGCGCATCGATGTCTGTGCATGGACAAATGCAAAACAAAATCATTTTGCACAAAATCCCAAATGATTGGGCGGTACATAACGCGAGGGAGTTATGTTGATTGCATTTAGAGCCTAGCACAGCCGGCGAAAGCTGCAAAAACACTACGTAGCTTGCCTACAGTATGGCCGCCACACATAAGTGCGCTGGGCCGATAGTCAATTACGGAACACATGTTTGAAATGATCCAACTATGTCACTTCAAGGCTTTGCAGTTGGGGTTTTGCGTTCCTGGTGAGATTGGACTTTGTCTCACAAGTAAAAGCCTCAGTATTTGTGGACTCCGCTGGATTGTCTGGTTCGAATAACAATCACAGCGTGTATTCTTTGAGGTGAGGTCGTGTGCGCTCTGTGCGGTCTGTTACGAAAATATATTACAACAAACTGTAGGTACTGAAGAGAAAGTGGTTCGCCGGCAGTCCAGTGGAAGCGTGCCGGGGATGTCATTTTTTTCAATAAAAGGCAAATTAAAAAGTCAGTCAAAGGCAAATTTGAGGACATTGTACTAAAATAGGGCTTGCAATCCGATAGAGTCCCGCATGCTGACGTACACGCTTAGGTGTCAACTTACAGGGTGACACTTGCGCAGTCCCACTCCCCTGTCGTGTCATATCCATCGGATCCAGGACGCATTCAGAGCGTC